CAGTTTTTTGCTTCACTGGGGAACAGGAGCTGAGGATTTTAGCCAATGGGTTCTCACCCTAATGATATCCATCAAGACCTAAAACATGATCCAGAAGAAAACATTCATTAGGCAAAATGAAAAGTTAACAGACAAAATGACCCTGCCGTTGCCAGACTTCCTCTGTTGTTTTCTTTGTACCATTTTATTTCTTTTTTAAAAAATGTTGGTTTATATCCAGTTGCATATCAAACCAGCATCTCCTCTACATGCAAGGTATCTAGTTTGGCTTCACTGAATATCACTCAGAAAATGGGGTGGAATATTCAGCCTGTTGCACTGTCCCTGAGCTTCCCTCTCTCATTTGGAGACTGTGTTTTTAAAAAATTGAAATCTTTTATGTAAATTTTACATGAGCAGATATTTCTGCTTAAGCAATTGGGTTACAAAAGGCTCTCAAGGAACTCAAGGAGCTCCAAATAAAGCATATGTCTCCATTAAAAAACAAAACAAAACAAAAACCTCAGTTGCAAAGTTATAATGATATGATTTCTCTGTGAGAGGAGTGTCGGGACTTATGATTATTCTGTTTCCGTGTCCCAGCCAGAGAGTGACATTTCATAGTTTACCACTAGCCAATATATTTTGTTAAACCCAGTATTGTGTTTTATTGCCCTGCCAAACAGGTCCTTCCCTGCCCTTGAGCCCTGCTGTGGTGGTCGTCGTTGCCGTGGTGTTGGTGTTGTGTGTGGTCTGCTGCATGGCAGTGTGTGGGTCAATTGATCCATGTGTAAACTGATGTACCACTGGGGTTTTAACACTGTGTCTCTGTAACTGTTTGCGCTGCTAGCTGCTACACTGAAGCAACCATGCTGTTCTCAAGGCAGTCTACCCTTGATGATTTAGATGGACCAGAAACTGTTCCTAAAACAAGTGAGCGTGCTCGACCTAGGCTCCGTAAAATGCTCAGCTTGGATATGTCCTCCTCATCCGCTGACAGTGGCAGTTTAGCATCAAGGTGCTTAACTTGTGCATGCTTTGTTCTGTGATTTTATATCTCCGCCCCCATCTCATTGCAAATATAAGTTTGTGTGGTATATGTTTTCTTTTTCTTTTAAGAATTTGCATGAATAACCAAAGCATAACCACCCCTTTCTGGGACATACCTGGTTATTCCCAGGACAGCATTCTAGTAAACTAACTGCTCTTTAGTTTTTGTCTGTTAGGAGTTTCTTAAAAACCCTTATTATAAACATTGCCCTCCACTTTGTAAGTATGTTACACTTTTCACTTTCGAAGAAATAAGCATGTTCCCCCCTTGATTGAGAGCTCATGTAGGCAGACCTCACAGGGGAAAATGAGATTTTTCTCGTGATTTCATCAAAAGATCCATGCAGTAGGAAAAATTATGAAAATTTGCCACATATGGTCTTTTTAATACAGAATAAATCTGCCCACATTTTATATGCTTAACTGACATAGAAGTCAGAACAGATTTTACCATTGATTTTTTAAAAAGAATAGTATGCTGCAATAGATAGACTAGATCACATTTGTAGACTGTGACTTGTTTTGTTTAGAAAAGATGACTTTGGGCTTAAGTTTCCTCATTAAATCCTATCATAAAATAATAATCTGTTAGAAATGAAAATGAAATCCAAAAGCTCTTTTTTGAGTTGCTTTGAATGGTCAGCAGGACACAGGAGCATCAGCTACGTTGTGCTTATCCTGACACCACAATAACCCAAACCAAAACAAATTTCAATTTTGGCAAATCGGAGGGCCATTGACCTCTTTTTGCCGGCGGCTATGTCCCCTAACACAGTGCTGCAGTATGCCAGGCCTGGCAATGGTGGAATGCTTTGCCATGAGGTGTCCTCTGGCAGACACAGGCTGTGCTGTTCTACTGTGCTGCTTCCTGAAGGTACCAGGATCTGTTGAATCCCTTTGGGGACAGACCAAATCAAAAACCATAGAGAGCATTCCTGTCATTGGGTGTAGTGTGACTGGAAGTTAGAATGGGTTGGAGCTGGCTCCAGTGGTCTGAAAATTCCCTGGGGTGATCAGTCAATTTCATGGCCTTCCTAGGAGGCTAATTGAGGTAACTCTTAGCAAAAATCCAGTTTGGCATGACATTCCAAGAGCCTTCTACGTGATGTGCATGCACGCTGAGGGCCAAAGCCCTGGGAATACTAAACACCTGAGAAGGTCCCAAGAACTCATGCAAATCTGATTCTTCAGCCTCAGGACTCAGCCAAGTTTCATCCATTCATTCATGTATTCATTAACATGTCTACACTGGTGTTGATGACAAGAAAAATGAGTATAGTCTATGCATTTCAGCCTCAGGACTCAGCCAAGTTTCATCCATTCATTCACTTATTCATTAACATGTCTACCTACACTGGTGTTGATGACAAGAAAAATAGGTACAATCTATGCATTAGAGAATCTCAGTGTTTATGGACCCTAGTTGCCCACATACGCCATTCAGAGAGATAATAGTGCATGTTTCAGAATCTAACAAGTTATAGTTTTATATCCACAGATTCCACGGATGTGTCTGAGGTAAATAATATTAAAACGCATGCCATGAATTTCACTGGTGGGCCAGCTCTATTTTCATTCCCAACTTTTTCTGCATGGGCCTGCCAGGGAAAGTTAGAAGATAGAACACAAAAAGGAGGAGAGGGGGGTGCAAGAGAAAAGAACAGGATGCCAGAAAGAGAGAGTGAGTTAAGGGTGGAGAGCTGATAGGAAGTGAACACTAGAAAGGGCGCTGGCAGAAGAAAATCAGTGGAAATAGTTGGAAGGAGAGAGGGCAGGACTGACCCTTGAGGGTGGAGCAGGCAGCCCCAAGGAGAGATCACGCTGGTGAGAAGATGGTGGGTGTTTCCATGTGTAGACAAAGAGGTTATCGGGAGGTGGTTGGGAGCTGGAAATGGTGAAAATTCAGTCAATGTAATAAGCACCAATAAGAAAAAGGCAAAGGGTGAGAAAACAGAGAGAAGGAACAATTATGAAAGAAGTGGGCCATCTTTTAAAATAAAGCATGCCGTTGCTTAGCCAATATTTTATTATTCCTATTGTCCTCTTCTGGATCTGGGTGGGCCCATGGCAAGGACTGAGAGTAGAGTTTATGTTGGTCAGCACCAACAGACCCACAGCCGCAAGGCTTCTCACTTCCATGCAGCCTGCTTTAAAGGGTATAGAGGGGTAGGTATGCTCTGCTCTGTCTCCATTGGGAGGTAAACACTGGAATCCATGGCTGTGAATCCTGAGATCATTTTGAGAACCTCCATGCACAGGTGGGTTTAGCAGCGTGTAAGCCATGTGACTTGCTCTGGTTTTCAACGGGTGTGTGCCCTGCTAGCTCTTGCATTGAAGAGGGTGCTGTTGGCAGTTGCAAACCAGGTGTGACTATCCTGAAGGAACAAAGCAGATGGGATGCAGGGAAGGGATTGTGGCCTTTGACTTCTCCTCTGCCTTGATGGTCTTATCTGGGAGCACTAAGGAGCTATCTGGAGAGCTTGAGAGGAGGCCGAGGAGCTGGGTGCTAAGCCCCGGGTCTGTGCCCGTCCCTCTCTCCCGACAGCGAGCCCACGCAGTGCACCATGCTGTACTCGCGCCAGGGGACCACCGAGACCATCGAGGAGGTGGAGGCCGAGCAGGACGAGGTGGAGGCCAGCCAGGACGTGGAGGCCCAGCAGGACGAAGACATGGGGGTCCAGGACAGCGACGATGAGGAGGGCAGTGAGTCTGAGGTGGACATGGGGCCGGATGGGCTTGAGGGGTCCGAGGAGGAGGCGGACGAGGAGGCAGATGAGGAGGCGGAGGAGGAAGAGGCAGAGGAGGCCCAGGACTCCGAGGAGTCCGAGGAGGCCGGCCTCACCCCGGACACTGAGTTGCCGCAGTCCTTCGCCGAGGACGGCGACATGGAGGTCCCGCCGTCCTACAGCAAGGCGGTCAGCTTTGAGCGCCTGTCCTTCGGCTCGCAGGACGACTCCGCGGGGCCGAGCCACATGGCCGTCAGCCCCGACGACAGCCGCTCCTTGGACAGGCTGGGGCCCAGCATCTTACCGTCCCTGACGCACGAGCTGACGGCCAGCGAGCTGCTGCTGAACAAGTAAGAGCCCGTGGGCAGCGGGAAGGTGTCTGGGAGCCATGCGCTGGGGTTGCACATGGAGGAAACTCGATGTAAAAACGCCCACCTGCGTGTTTACAGCGAACAGACACAGTTCTCATCCTCCTCAGGCTGCAGATACAACACAGTCTGCAGCACGTCTGTCACTAAGGGTAGAACGAGCAAGAGCTGGCAGTAGACACTGCTCAGGTGTCTTCTGTAAGATAATATTGGGGGGTTTTCCATAGGAAATCTGGGGGCAGAGGGAAGGGGAAGGAGAGGAAGGACCTTGGATGTGGCAATCAGTAATTTGGAGAAATGAAGACAAAAGTATCTTCATGCTTCTGCTCACAGGATGTTCCACGATGATGAGCTTGAAGAGTCGGAGAAATTCTACGTGGACCAGCCGCGGTTCTTGCTGCTGTTCTACGCCATGTACAACACCCTGGTGGCCCGCTCGGAAATGGTGTGCTACTTTGTGATCATCCTGAACCACATGGTCTCTGCCTCCGTAATCACCCTGGTGCTCCCCATTCTGATCTTCCTCTGGGCCATGCTGTCCGTCCCGAGGCCCAGCAGACGGTTCTGGATGATGGCCATTGTCTACACAGAGGTAGGCCTTGGGCACAACCTCCGGCAAGCTGCGCGGGGCATTTGCGCTAAGTGGGCCTGCCCCGACCCCCGGGTAGTTGCACACAGAACTATCAGTACATGTCTATTCTTAGGCAGATAAATGAATATGCCTAACAGTTACCTAGTGCTGGTAATTGTATATATCTTTTTACATTTCACACCTCACACAAGATAGGTGCTAATATCATTCCTATTTAATAGATAAGGTTACCAACTTTAATAAGGTTAAATCATTGGCCCAAAGTTACCCAGCTAGTGAGGGATGGGGCAGACTCCTGAAGCCTGGTTGTCTGTCCTGTGATATTAACCACGGAGATAACAGTGCTATGCAGACCCAAGCATAGTGCCTGGACCTGGGAATGTTCCGTGAATGGACGCTGAATTAAATAATACAGTAAGCCCTTTTAATATAGTTAGTGCAGCAAGAACATATCCCATTTTTAAACTTAGGCTTTAAATGGGAATAACAAGGGCTCATCAGTAGATGAGTGGATAAAAAAGCTGTGGTATATTTACACCATGGAATACTATGCAGCAGTAAAAAAGAAGGATCTCTTACCCTTTGAGACATCATGGAGGGACAAGGAGAGTATTATGATAAGTGAAATAAGCCAGTCAGAGAAAGACAAGTATGTGGAATCTAATGAACAAAATACACTGATGAACAAAATAGATCCAGAAGCATGGAACAAACTGTCAAATCTCAGAAGGAAGGAGGAGGTGAGTGGGTAAGAGGAAAGAGATCAACCAAAGAACATGTATACATACATGCATAAGTCATGGACATAGACAGTTGGGTGGTAAAGGCCTGGGATGGAGCGTGGGGATGGACTAGAAGGGGTTAATGGGGGAGCGGGATAAAAGGAGACATAAGTAATACTTTCAACAATAAAGATTTTTTAAAAATAAACAAAAAATAAACAGGGGCATGACTCGATCAGATTTGTGTTTTTGCAAGTTTTTATACAGAATGAAAGTGGACACATTGAGACCAGCTAGGAAACTATTTTAATTGTGGGTGAAAAGTAATAGGGTTTGAATGCAGTGACAATGAGGTTGAAGATGAGTGGGTAAATGTGGTTTCAGTAATGGACTAAAGCTTTTTGCGGTGTGAAGGAGAAGGGGAGAGGCAAGAATGACCTCCAGGTTTCTGCTTTGGAATTTTGTATGTGGGGATTTTCACTAAGATAAGAAACACAGGACTGTTCTTTGCAGAAGCTTGACTAAGAAGACAGGAGAGAGAGAAGAGCTAAAGGAAGACTCTAGGTCCAGAGAGGACTTTTTAAAGTATTTTTATTAATGAATTGTGTATATTGCAATGAGGAATGCTTAAATGAAACCCATCAATTTTCTCATTTGTCATTCTCTCTCAACATGCCACTTTTCTACAACATTTATACACTTATAACAGCACAACTGGCCAGTTTGTTTCATTTACTTTTATATCTTCTTGAGAAGAAATTCCAGTGAGCAATAAAGTAGGGAGAAGAAAGAGATTGGAGTAAAGTGAAAATTGTGTACATCAAACCTGCGTAATATTGTTCACAAAGATTGCAAATTAAAGCAATACATAAAATATAAAGACATAAACATTATTCTGCTCTTGTGTCCTAATACCACACTTTAATAGCTGATAATTATATATGTATCAAATAAATCAGTATAAATTAGCCTACTTCTCAAAAACAAGGGAAATTATTTAAGCAGTGCCATGAGAGACCTGATTGGCCCTGATATATCTACGATCAAAGGCACTCGCGAGGGTAAGATTTAGCTCCTGTTCTGAAGTCAGTGGTCTGTAAGAATGATGATGTAATCATTCTACATAACTGTGTGCATTTCTACCATCAAAACTGTGAAATGGATTTTTCTTGGTTGTTTTATATTGCTGTTTCTCCTATATAACTATTCTTATAAAGATTTTTTTTTAATTTCTATCATCCATGTGTAGGTGACAATTGTGATCAAGTATTTCTTCCAATTTGGGTTCTTTCCCTGGAATCAGCTGGTGGAATTGAACAAGGACAAACCTTTATACCCAACTAATATTATAGGTGTGGAAAAGAAAGATGGTTATGTTCTTTATGATCTCATTCAGCTCCTGACTCTTTTCTTCCATCGATCAATTTTGAAGGTACTGTTTTAACAGTTACCCAGCACGTGTTGAGAATTGTCGCTGTAATATTCCTAGACACTGTGAACATTAGGATTGGTGACAGTGCTGAAGGGTCAGTGGATGGTGTCTACTGTATGCTTTAAAACACACACACACACAAACAATTATATTCATTTAGTGGATATTTTCTCCAATACTCTGTGCTCAATAATGTAACTTACAATAAATCTGGGGGCAAATTTTCCCATATTTCCACCCTGGGTTGAACATGCAATAATTAACTCACACATGTGGGAATTGCACACATTCTGTACAATAGCTTAATGCCTGATATGCTAAATTCTACTCCTAGTTTAAGCCAGAACCTCAGAGAGCTACAATTTGGAGTGGATTGTATTGCTTTTCATCTCCATCCCAACCTCTGACTACCACCTTGTAGCATTGCTTTTCTTGGGTAGTTTTTTGTCATGAAACCGCTAGCTTTAGTGAGAGACTGTACATTCAATGGTCTGGTGACACCAGTGCTGTGCTTTGCTTCTTGGAAGCTCATTGTTGAGAAAGCTGCTTATCACACTGCTCTGGGAAGACCTGCCTACAGGGTGACCTGTCTCAGAGTCAGTAACACTTGTCATCCTCCTGAGCAACTATGTGGGCTTTTTCTTCTTGTATACTGTGAACTGTAAGCTCAGCTTGTAAATGATAACAATTAGAAAGTATTGCATAGCATACATTTTATGTGATGATATACCTATTGTCACAACCTTACTTTTCTTCTCTTACCTATGTCTCCTTTTATAAAATATTTACATTTATTTTATCAAGTAGTATCTTTATTAGTTCCTGTTTAGAACAGGCTTGACCTAAGTTAATACATACACACACATCCTATATAATAAAAACATAATATAATAAAAGCATTTATTTGTCCTTTCGGATGAAGCGGGAGCTGCGAGGGCAGAGGCAGAGGCAGCCACTGTGGCTCCAGGGGGCCAAGCCCCTTGCACGAATTTCGTGCATCGGGTCTCTAGTGTGTGTGTGTATGTATGTGTATGTGTGTATATATATATATGTATATATATATATATATACACACACACACACACACACATACATACATATATACCCATACATATGTAACACTGTGTTCAACTTCTGTCATACTTAGTGGGCTATTTCAAATTGGGTTCATCTGTGTATAGCTTTGGTCAAGATCTTTTTTCTCTCTTCTGTCACCTTGCAAAGTGCCCAAGTCCCTAACCTTTCATTTTACAGTCACCTTACCTATGTTATTGGGTTGTGGCAGGTTTTCAAAGGTATGTTATTCAAGGAAATCAGTTAGCCAAAATTGAACTTGCCCAAAAGCTCCAGTTTTTCTGATGAATATGCTAATTTTCTGAATTAATCCACTTTACTAATTCTTGTTATGACTATATTAATATATTAACTTTATATCTTTTTAGTTCCAGAAACTAGTTAAAATTTAAGCATTTAAAACATAATGGTATAATTTTGGCCACTTTACAATTATCTTAAAACTTTTGTATCCTTTTGCATGTCATTTAAAATTTTTTATAAACCTTTAGGCATTTTTACTACTTTTCATCAATAATCAAATGGTTTAACAGCTACAATTTTATATTTAAAGTGTACAATAAAAAAATTTTGATATTTTATATTATATACTTTAATTTCTTCTTTGAAAATTTCATTTACTGTACATAGTGAATGTATATGAGATTTGAGGTACTAGTATTATGCTAAAATTTTGGATAATGATATGAAAAATATTTTTTGGAATGATAAATCTTTTCATGAAAAAAACCCCACCTCTTATAGAATGCTGCTATGGAAACCAAACAATGAAAACTATGTAGGAATTTGAAAAGTGGTTAAAACTATCCTATTTAGCTCTAACCAGTTTGGCTCAGTGGATAGAGCATCGGCCTGCGGACTCAAGGGTCCCAGGTTCGATTCCGGTCAAGGGCATGTACCTTGGTTGCGGGCACAACCCCAGTGGGGAGTGTGCAGGAGGCAGCTGATCAATGTTTCTCTCTATCCCTCTCCCTTCCTCTCTGTAAAAAATAAAATATATTTTTTAAAAAAACAAACTATCCTATTTAGTATTAATTGCTGCAATTTTATAAATAATTAGAAGAATTAACAAACTTAAATGTACTACTAAAAAGTAGGGAAAGAATCTAAATATGTTAAAATGTTGGCAAAAGACAAAACAATTTTTAAAATGATTTGAAAGAAATTAGTATAAACTGAAAAATCCCACTATGAACACCTAAAATGTTTGTTTGTAAGAATACATTCATTTGATATGGTTAAAAATAGTATATCTATAAATGAATATTTAAGAGTAATTTGTAAATTAGGCGACTTTGTCTTTTGATGAGCTAATTATTCTCTGAGTTGGTTTTTGACCAATTAATTTTTAGCAAATTGGCCTGGAGCTCTTATTCCCCAAAGTATGTGTCAGAGGGAGGACTGGTCAAGGCCTTGGGGAACAAATGCAGAGTCTGGCTGTCTGGGTGCTCAGGAGGCTGTGAGTTCATTGGGGAGCTTTGTCCAACAGCAGCAAGTTCAATTTAGCATGTCAGGGTGACTTGTGGTTCAGGTAGCATCATGCTCCAGGAAGGTCTCTGCTCTCTCTCCTCCTTTTCCGCTGTCATTTCTCCCCTCTTTATCAGCCCTTTCATCCCATTTCCCTGAAGCAAAACCCAAGCTCTGCAGAACGCATCGTAATCTGTTTCACATGTGGACCAACATTTTTTTGAGTTAAGTATTTGCAGCTCTGTTTCTGAGTCAGCCATGGATGATTCAAGGATTCACATCATGTGTTACGCAGCTTGGGTAGGGACAGCATTATTATTATTCAAGTGCAGATATTTAGTAAACATGGGGCAATGGGGCTGAATTCACCCACTTATACTTCAAGTTGATCCTTGGAATGCTAGTCGTAAGCATAGAGAGATGTGTTCTGAAAAGCACTTCTGCTCACGGAACAAGTCAAGAGATTGTAATTTTGCCTTTTTTCTACCTGCCAAACATCACCTGTCTCCATCTCACTTAATTAGCCAAACTTTTATCATCTTACCCACCCATATCCACTCTACTGGGACCATCATAAAATTATAGATAATAAGCTTTCTTAGAATCTCTCCCTGCCTTGGTTTTCTCATCTTTTTTAATTACAGCTTTATTGAGGTATAATCAACAAAATTATAAAATATTTAAACTGGACATGTGGTGATTAGATAAATGCATACATTGTGAAAGGATTCACCCATCTATGTAATTAACACATTCATCACCTCACATATGTATTCTTTTTTTTAATGAGAATATTTAAGTTCCATTCTCTTTGCAAATTTCAGTTACATAACAACACAGTGTTACCAAAGATAGTCACTCTATTTTGCCTTTGGTTTTCTAATCTTGGGGAGAGTTTGTTCGATGAGATATTATAGGGCAGAACACCAGCTCCCTCACCTGAAACAGCAATCTTAATTGTCCCTTCCCATGCTTTCTCAGTGCCACGGCCTATGGGATGAAGATGACATTACCGACAGTGGGACCGACAAGGAAGAGTCAGATGATGAGCTGTCCCTCAGTCACGGCAGAAGGGACTCCTCTGATTCTCTGAAATCCATCAACCTGGCTGCGTCCACGGAGTCAGTGCACGTGTCCTTCCCTGAGCAGCTGACGGCTGTTCGCAGGAAACGTTCCAACAGCAGCTCCCAGATATCCCACAGATCCAGCTTTTCTTCAAATAGGTCTCAAAGAGGTATCCCTGGGCTGGAAATACCCCCTGAGGTTCTCCTTTTACTGGTGCCAGTGTGTCTGGGGCAGGGAGTTTGTTGGGTGCTACCAAGCAGACAGGTATTGTGATGTGAATTGAAAGTGCTTTGAAATCAGACAGACCCGAATTCAAGTGCTGACTCAGCTGTGTGTGTGACCTGGGGCAGTCACATCATTGCATTGCTCTAAATGTCTAATTCCTTCCAGGACAAGGACTCCAGATAATTGTGAAAAGTGGCCAGCATAGTGCAAGGACCTAATAAGTGTTGGGCATACAACAGTTTTAAAATCAGATCCACAGATTCTGCTGGGTGTCCAGAGTGCTGTAAATCACAATTTATTTCAAAAATATATTTATATTTCATTGATGGGAACTTTCAGTTATACTATCTAATAATTTTCTCATGTATTTATTAATTTCTTACTAAGCAGTGAGTGCAATCAGAAAGTAGATATGCCTTCCAGTTGCCACTCTAGGAGTAATTGGGTATTTGTATTTATAGCCCTCCTGTATGAAACTTACCAAATACTTGTGTACAGTCATGCATTGTATGACTTTTTGATCAACGATCAACGATGGACCACATATATGATGGTGGTCTACCATATAGCCTAGGAGGGTAGTAGGCTGTACCATCTAGATTTGTGTACACTCTGTGTTGTTCACACAACCACAAAATTGCCTACTGACACATTTCTCAGAATCTATACCCAAAGCATGTATCATTAATTGGTGCATGACTATATTCATCTTCAGAATATACTTTTCAGGCAGATGCTGGAAGGTCCTCATATTCATTTTACAGTTAGAGAAATGAGGACATGAGAAAAGGGATGGGCCATGGACCCAACCTAAAAAACCTGCAACCTAGGCCCCCCAGGTAGTACTAAAAAAGCTGCTCTTCCCATGTGTTTCTTCCCGGGACAAAGATCACATAACAATCCAGGGATGACTCAGCATTGGGTGTACAAACCCGTAGATGCATTTTACCTCCGAAGCAGACTTGAGACAGCAGATTCCGAATGTTCAGTCACTGCTCTGACAGGCATGTGTGTTCGTTCTTCCCTCTGAGTCTGTTTCAAGCCATCCCTTTGCCATGGGGGCCCCAAGGACTAATTTGATACCTATGTCAATTAGTCCGTGCCTCACGGTGCATCTTGGCTTCTTTTTATTCCTAGGCAGCACAAGCACCCGAAACAGCAGTCAAAAAGGAAGCAGTGTTTTGAGCATCAAGCAAAGAAGCAAAAGGGAACTTTACCTGGAAAAGCTTCAAGAACATTTAATCAGAGCAAAAGCACTTACCATAAAGAAGTGAGTGCATGCAAACACTTGGGTTGTGGGTTTTATTTTAGGGCTGGGGGACTTTGGGAAATAATTGTTAACAATCATTTCATATATGCCAAAGGTGAAGAACAGAGAAGTGGCTTCTCATATCACAAATATCCTCTTAAGGCAGAAAAAAATAACCCATTATTAAAAATAATAATATTTTAAAAAATCACTTTTCAATAAGTGTTATTCATTTTTACATTCGTTGCATTTAGAAACACACATTTTCTATTTGAAAAGGATAAATAAATAATCTCAGAAGTTCACAGTAGGTAATTCCAGGCATTATCATGGAAAGACTACTGGATAGAGAGGAATTTCCTGTCAAAGCTGGAAGGGCCTCAGACATACACTCTCATCCTAGAGAGGAGAGACTGAGGCACATGGTGGGGAGATGGTTTGTCATTGTCATATAGCCGGTCTCCAACAAAATGCACAGGTTCTTCCCAAGTGTCAGGGCTGCAGACAAACAGCAGATGAGGAAGCAACATAGAGGACGCGCAGCAGGGCTGGTCCTGAATATGGGCTCTGAGGCCAGGAGGGCCATCCACACCTGAACATGGCCTTGAACTGAAGGTAAAACCCAGAGCACAGTAAAGATAAGGCAGAGGCTGGACAGACAAGCCAGAGCCAGGAGGACATGGTAACAAAGGACAGAGCAAAGTGAACTCAAAAGCCCAGGTACTCCCTGGGAACCACGAGAAGAGAGGCCCAGGACCCACCTGGGGGAATGGCAGGGCTGCCTAACGATGACCTGGCGCCTGGTCAGCCCTTCAGGTCTAAGCCCCCTGGTGCATTCCCATGTATTTCTCAGTCCAGCCCTATGCCTCAGGTCTTATTGCTACCTTCATTTTACAAAAGAGGAAATGAAAACTAGGAGAGTTAAGTAGCATGCTCAAGGTCTCACAGGTGCAGAGTAAATGAATCAGGTGACAAACCACCTAAATTTCAGGGCTTTATATCACTGTAGCACAAGAAAAAAGGTTCATGGTCTTACCTTGCCAGTGAACTTGTATGCACTCTGTTCGAGCAGGAGCCACCCCCAGCAGGACTGTCCTGAGGCTGAGAGAGGGAGAACCCGTTTGGAAAAAGGAATAGAATGACTGTAGAATCTGGTCATTTCTCCACTTGTACCTCTCCTGAAGCAAGGGGGTGGGGTCCCTGTTTTGCAGGACTCTGCAAATATATGTGCCCATCAGACAGTTCTTCTACAACCTCATCCACCCAGACTACAGCGCCGTGACCGACGTATATGTGCTTATGTTCCTGGCTGACACTGTTGACTTCATCATCATCGTCTTTGGCTTTTGGGCCTTCGGGGTAGGTAAAGGCCACCATGCAGCCAATAACTAATAGTGATCTGTCCTGTGAAATGCCACTTAGGCCTGAACCTGTTGTCTCTTTCCCAGAAACACTCAGCAGCCGCAGACATCACCTCTTCTCTGTCTGAGGACCAGGTGCCCGGGCCGTTTCTGGTGATGGTCCTCATTCAGTTTGGAACCATGGTGGTGGACCGAGCACTGTACCTCAGAAAGACTGTATTGGGAAAGGTCATTTTTCAGGTCATTCTTGTGTTTGGAATTCACTTCTGGATGTTCTTCATCTTGCCTGTAGTGACTGAGAGGTAAGGTCTTTGGAAACTGTTGCTGCTGGTTAAGATGGGTTGGACATGGGAGATTTACAAAGAGTAGCCCAAAGTTTGATAGGGAAAGGCCAGGTAAGATCCTGGAGGCTAATACCGCTTTCCTTCTATCACCTTGAACCCTAAGCATCTTCTGTGTTAACCTTCAGTTCTCCAAGGATACCACGTCCTCCCAAATCTCAAAGCCCTTCCTTCTCTTCTCTACCGCCTCCAACCCACAGTGCCTCTTCTTCCTCACTCTTTAGATCTCAGTCCAGGTGTCACTTTTCCCAGGTCTTCTCACCCCACACCTCAAACTTAGTGCTTCTTGCATGAACGGATGAATGTGTCAATCAATAACAGAAAAATAAGGGAGACAGCTATAAATAGGAACCGTTAGATTATGATAGTAAAGGGTCCATAGAAGGGGCACATGGACTGGTCCATATGATAAAATAAGAATGATATTTTTAATAAACATCATTAAAAGTCTTCATGTATAACATTAATTTGATCTTATACATCAGAGACATTCATAGCCAAGCCTTAAGAATAACATGTCAATAAGTCTGGCTAATTGGAAGTGTGAATGAAAAGTAATGAAAATGGATTGAACTTTACAACATTATGGTTGTACATTTTTCTTTTTTTCTTTTTGAGCTTTAATTTTGGACAGAGTAGCCGCAGCATCCACATTGTGAGAAAATGTTAATAGTAAATTTACTTAACAGCAATTTATTTTATTTATGGCTTAAACAACTGACTAATGCACTAATACCTTAGAGGCACCAGTCATAGGATTTTTTTTTATTACCCTACCTTTTGCCTTTGAAGTGATCAACTATACATAGTGAATTTCTTAGAATTGACTGAATTGACTTAAATGCTAGAGGGGCAGTTAGGCTTTTTTTAAAATCCTAAACTGGTATCCTTTTACCAGAAGAGGATTCCATTCCCTCACTTTTCTGAATGTTTCTGTTTTAGGAAATTCAGCCAGAACCTGGTTGCTCAGCTTTGGTACTTTGTGAAATGTGTTTACTTTGGGTTGTCTGCCTACCAAATCCGTTGTGGCTACCCAACACGAGTGCTTGGAAACTTCCTCACAAAGAGCTACAATTACGTCAACCTCTTCCTGTTTCAAGGGTAAGGACACAGGCTGTGTGCCATAGTCGCTCACAGAGGGGAGGCTGCCAAGTGAAAGGCATTCTGCTTCCTACCTGGGAAGGAACAGGAAGAGGAAGAGTGCTGATGCACAGGAATGTAGATCGTCATGAAACTCTTACAGTATTTAGCAAAAGAACAGATATGCTTCTTGAAATACCTTTCTATGTGTAGTTGCCACTCACCTAGCCAGGATGTTGTTCTGGGATCATCCACAGGGGTTAATTTTCTATTTCTATATCCTGCAAAATTACTGTGATAATATTTTCGGATTCATGATCCTTAAGTATAAATATATTTCTGGGCACAATGAAATAGAATATTTGGAACCTAGACTATTCCAAAATACCTTTGGAATTTTGCATGTACAATAAGTCCATCCATTGAATAGGCCATTTATTCCCCCTAACATCAGTGGGAATGCCACGTGACTTGCTTATTCCTGGTAGTAAGTTAGCTGCCAAAGGAAGCATATTACTCTTCCATATGAGAATTTTATTGGTTGCATCTCCTCTCTGCTCAGAAAGCAGACATAAAAATCAGACTGACTGCATAAAAAGTCAGTCTGCTCCTGGCACGGCTGGCTCCTACTTAGCACCAAACCTGGGGGCTAGGGCACGTGACTTGCTTATTCCTGGTAGTAAGTTAGCTGCCGAAGGAAGCATATTACTCTTCCATGTGAGAATTTTATTGGTTGCATCTCCTCTCTGTTTGCTCAGGAAGAAGACATAAAAATCAGACTGACTGCATGAAAAGTCAGTCTGCTCCTGGCAAGGCTGGCTCCTACTTAGCACCAAACCTGGGGGCTAGGAACTTGGTCATAAAAGCGGTATTGAGCATGCTCAGATGTTAGGAACCTCCAGTGTGGAACAGTGTTTCACTTAGTGCCATCCTGTATGGGGCTGATATTTCTTCCCTGTGTTGAATTAGTGCCCTCTGGACAAAGCTGTGTAGCCCACAGGAGAATACCAAGCAGTAACCCAAGCTGTTGTGAGGGCTGTAGAATGAACCTAGACCAGGGGTGGGCAAACTTTTTGACTCGAGGGCCACAATGGGTTCTTAAACTGGACCGGAGGGCCGGAACAAAAGCATGGATGGAGTGTTTGTGTGAACTAATATAAATTCAAAGTAAACATCATTACATAAAAGGGTACAGTCTTTTTTTTTTTTAGTTTTATTCATTTCAAACCGGCCGGCCCGCGGGCCGTAGTTTGCCCACGGCTGACCTAGACCCTCCAGCCTGGGAGAAGCTGTCAGTCAAGAAACAGGGGGCAGTCCCCAGACTTGAGAGGAGCGAATACCAAGCAGTAACCCAAGCTGTTGTGAGGGCTGTGGAATGAACCTAGACCCTCCAGCCTTGGAGAAGCTGTCAGTCAAGAAACAGGGGGAAGTCCCCAGACTTGAGAGGAGACCAGGCCAACCTATTCCCAAATGAAATATAAGAGACTGAGCCAGAGTCCTGTTGGCCTTAGTCATCTAGTAAGTCTACTGTGTGACCCCAAAGACATGTCCTGTTTCCTCTGATGGCTGTCATTTGCCCTGGTTTTTCACTTACAAGGTGTATTAACTTTCCAAGCTCATTCAACAACAAAGCTCCAACAATTCAATAAGCCTGTGACCAATAGATTATTGTAACATGAACAAATAAATGCTTACAAAAGCTAAATTATAGATATTTGCAGATGATATCATTTTATATAGAGAAAATCCTAAAGACTTGCCCCCCAAAACTTGAGAACTAATCAATGAATTCAGTAAAGTTGCAGGATATAACTTTTTGACTCGAGGGCCACAATGGGTTCTTAAACTGGACCGGAGGGCCGGAACAAAAGCATGGATGGAGTGTTTGTGTGAACTAATATAAATTCAAAGTAAACATCATTACATAAAAGGGTACGGTCTTTTTTTTTTTTTTAGTTTTATTCATTTCAAATGGGCCGGATCCGGCCCGCGGGCCGTAGTTTGCCCACGGCTGACCTAGACCCTCCAGCCTGGGAGAAGCTGTCAGTCAAGAAACAGGGGGCAGTCCCCAGACTTGAGAGGAGCCCAGGCCAACCTATTCCCAAATGAAATATAAGAGACTGAGCCAGAGTCCTGTTGGCCTTAGTCATCTAGTAAGTCTACTGTGTGCCCCCAGTGACATGTCCTGTTTCCTCTGATGGCTCTCATTTGCCCTGATTTTTCACTTACAAGGTATATTAACTTTCCAAGCTCATTCAACAACAAAGCCCCAACAATTCAATAAGCCTGTGACCAACAGATTATTGTAACATGAACAAATAAATGCTTACTAAAGCTAAATTATAGATATTTGCAGATGATATCATTTTATATAGAGAAAATCCTAAAGACTTGCCCCCCAAAACTTGAGAACTAATCAATGAATTCAGTAAAGTTGCAGGATATAAAATCAACATACAGAAATCAGTTGTGTTTCAACCACTAACAATGAAATATCTGAAAAAAAATAAAGAAAAACTTTCATTTACAATAACATCAAAACAATAAAATACTTAGAAATACATTTAACCAAAGAAGTGAAAGATTTGTACAATTTCTTATAAAAGAAATTGAAGAAGACACCTTTAAACACTTAAAAAGGGAATACCAGTTTGTTAAGACCATCAGCCAAAAAACGAGAAGAAAAAAAAAGAAAGAAAAAAGGAATGGAAAATACCAATTCATTTATTAGACTTCTAATGAAAAGCAGTTGTATTCCAAGTTGGATTTTACCATAAGGGTCACCTTGAGAATTTTTTCTAAGATCTAAGAGCTAAAACATCAAGTAACTGCATGAGTTCCCAGGGTTAGCTGGATATTGGGGGCCATCCCAGAACTGTCTCTCTAACAAGACGTGGTTTCTGCCAGGTTCCGCCTTGTTCCATTTTTGACTGAGCTAAGGGCTGTGATGGACTGGGTGTGGACAGACACGACCTTGAGCCTCTCCAGCTGGATCTGTGTGGAGGACATCTATGCTCACATATTCATCCTGAAGTGTTGGCGGGAGTCGGAAAAAGTAAGCCAATAAAAATGCCTTATCCCTATTTGTCTCTCTTAGATACAGACTGGTTATAAGATTAATGTGAACTTTTGCAAGTTTTGTGGCCAAATAAATGGAGACAGGGACAAAACTACTAGGATTTATAAATGTCCTATTGATTTTCACCCCACTAGAGTAGGGAATTTTGGACATACTGCTGTCTTAGCAATAGCATCCAGATGTGTTCATCTTTTGGCCACTTTGTGTTGTAGTTATTTTTAAAAGAAGAAATTATATATTGCTGTGTGACTCAATAATTCTTAAATGACTCATTGGGGAACAGAAGGAAATTTGCTGTGGTGGAGAAAAGTGGGGTGAGGTAGCTTGGACTCAGGCTCACCACCTGATGTCCTTTTTGATGAGGGACAGACAATGTTACTGCTTTGTGCAAAGGAAATTGAAGTGCAAATACTTGATTATTCTTCCAAGTTGAATGTTAAGGTTAAAAATAGAATTACAATTATTTATAGGATTCTCAAGTTCAATGTATGAAGCAGGAATCTCTTGCATAATAACAATAGAAATACTCAAGCAACATTAACTGAGGTGGTGTGAAATGTCTTTTTTTCTCATCTCTTTGAAAAAGTGTGTTCATCTTTTGGCCACTTTGTGTTGTAGTTATTTTTAAAAGAAGAAATTATATATTGCTGTGTGACTCAATAATTCTTAAATGACTCATTGGGGAACAGGAGGAAATTTGCTGTGGTGGAGAAAAGTGGGGTGAGGTAGCTTGGACTCAGGCTCACCACCTGATGTCCTTTTTGATGAGGGACAGACAATGTTACTGCTTTGTGCAAAGGAAATTGAAGTGCAAATACTTAATTATTCTTCCAGGTTGAATGTTAAGGTTAAAAATAGAATTACAATTGTTTATAGGATTCTCAAGTTCAATGTATGAAAGCAGGAATCTCTTGCATAATAACAATAGAAATACTCAAGCAACATTAACTGAGGTGGTGTGAAATGTCTTTTTTCTCATCTTCTTTGAAAAAGTCCCCTCTAGTCCATGTAATCTCTGTATTCTGCAGTTTCTTCTGAGAATTTTAGCTTTGTAGTCATGGGGCCATTTGTACCTCTGTGTTTCTGGCATTTGTGGGAGTGAAGGAGATGAGGCTGGTAGTATACTTGTATTAGCTTTTCCTGATTTTTAAGGTACAAGGGAATTGATATAAGGACAGAATATGAGAGCCAATCTACCAAAGGGACATAGAGGGTAGAAATCAGGGTGACAAAGGGTCTGGAAATCATATGAAAACAAGGAGGAAGAACCAAGAATTATTTAGTCTGAAGAATTATTTAAAAAAGGGGGGGAGGAGGCAGACAAACTATTTGAAATATTGGAAAATAGATTACAATTTTTAATTAATTTGTAAGATCCAAGAAAAGTAGACAAAAGCTCCAGTAAGTTGCAATGGAACATAAAGATCTTCCTAAAAATCACAGAAAAGAAATTGAAGACACCTTTAAACATTTAAAAAGGGAATCCCTGTTTGTTAAAACCATTAAAAAAAAAAAAAAGGAAAAGCAAATCGTACCCTTTGCGACAGCATGGATAGACCTGGAGAACATTATGCTATGTGAAATAAGCCAGTCAGAGAAAGACAAGTGCCATATGATTTCACTTATATGTGGAATGAACAAAATAAACAAACAAACAAAATAGAAACAAACTCATAGATACAGAGAACAGACTGAGAGCTGTCAGAGGGGAGGAGGGTTGGGGAGCTGGGCGAAAAAGGCGAAGGGATTAAGCAAAAGAGAGAGAGAGAGAGAGAGAGAGAGACCTCATAGACACAGACAATAGCATGGTGATTACTGTGACTACCAGAGGGAAAGGGGGGTGGGAGAGGTAGAACAGGGTAAAGGGGGATAAATGGTGATGAAGAGATTTGACTTGGGGTGGGAAACACACAATACAATATACACCTGAAATCTATATAATTTTACTAACAAATGTCACCCCAATAAATTAAATTTTAAAAAGAAATAAAAGCCTCATTTTAATGTATCACCTTAATTTAAATATATGCTTCTACCTTATGCTAAGTCTGTGGCTATTTAAATCACACTTGGTAAAACATTTTGAGAAATCTGGGTATGTGCGAGGTAAGTATTAGGGATTCTAAATGAATCTGACACTAGTTTCTACTTCATCCCGTAAGAGACTGAAACATTACCAGTAATTATCACTTTTCCACATTGAATGTAATATGTTCCTGGGGTTTCATAAATACACTTTATGAAGAAACAACAATTTCCTGAGAGGCCAGTGTTGGTGTGAGCACACACAATGCAAGCCACTCACTCCTAGTCATATTTTACCATGATTTCCATGCAGCCACTTTCCCAAACACTTTTTTTAAACATGCTTCTATTAACTTCAGAAAGAGAAAGGGAGAGGGAAAGAGGGATAGAAACATCAATGATGAGAATCACAGATTGGCTGCCTCCTGCACGCCCCCTACTGGCCATCAGCCTGCAACCTGGGCATGTGTCCTGACCGGGAATCAAGCTGTGACCTCCTGGTTCATGGGTGGAGGCTCAACCACTGAGCAACACTGGCTGTGCCAGAACACTTTAAGAAACAGTTTGGAAATGCAGCATGACCGGAACTGCAAACTGGAACTCTTGGTCAAGAGTTGGCTCGCCTAGGAAAGGGGTGATGGAGCAGCATAGAACAGGAAGGTGACAGTTGCTTTGAACGTGAAGGGAAAGAGAGCCTCATAATTAGAAAGAGGCCAAAGGTCTTGGCTCTGTTCTGCCCTGGGAAATGCATGGAGGGGTGAGCAGAGAAGGGGGAGGAGGTATGGGGATTACTGGGAGCTTTTCGAGGGGAGCCTCAAAGATACTGGCCTTCGGGAGAGGAACCAACATGGTCCCACAACAGGCAGAAGAGACTCAAACTGCTCTTGACAGAGAATAGATAAATCTCCTTTAGCACACCAAGCTCTCCATTTTGTAATACTAGGGTGCTGTTGGAGTGGGTTAAGTGGACCATTGTCTAAACTGGCCTCATTGAGAAAATAATGAAAAAGCAAATTTGTGGTGTATGAATATGTATTTCCAAATTTTAAATATTTTAGTTTTTCTTTTAAAATAGAAAAATTTATACAATAATATCAAATTCCAATGCAAAGGTATTAAAATACTGTCCTTAATATGAACCTCACCCAACTTCGCAGCAGAGTCATTTAGAAGCATTATCTTTCGTGCACTGAGTCAATAATGCTTCCCATACTGGCTCTGACCCGCCCTCCAGTCCAGCTCGTGTCCTCATGGTTCCAAGTCCATATTCAGGAGCTACTCAGTGTCGAAGCTTGGAGAGCCCTTTAGCAGTGAGTGTCCTTTAAAGTCCCCAGAGAGGTCTCTGCTGGCTTCCAGACCTTTCTCTTAGTTTGTAACCCAGAGCTCAGTGCCTACAGGTAGAATGCACATTATTTGTTCTCGCCCTAACCTACTGAAATGAATTCATCCTAATGGAGTGTGAGCCCCAGATAGGGAAGGGAGGACAGCTTCCAGATTATATATATAGCCTAAGTCCAGGGGTCACCCTGGAAGGAAAATAGGTCACTGAGAAGCAACATTTAATAAGCAAGGAATATGCACATAGAGCTGGAGCAGTTTTAATATCAGACAGCAAAGCAGGCTCCTTCCACCTTGCCCATAGCCTCTAAGACAGAGCTTAGTGGGTCCCTTGGTAAAGCAAATGGAAGTGATTTCAGCCCTACCAAGTGCTCTTGTCACGCAAGTCCCTTGTGTGATACACACACCTACCACCACCCCCAACCCCACCCCTCTCAGCATAGCACCCAAGCAGAGAGAGGCCCCGGTGGAGTCACAGTACCAAGAGGACTGTGCTGATCTTACAGATCTTACGGCATGCCTTGAACAACATTGTTTTGACAACACGTGATTAATGAAGTGAAAAATGTTTTTCCACCCACTAGCGGTGGAGAAGGGTTCAGTTGAAAGGCACAGCTTTTGAATGCTCAGGAATTTAAAGTAAAATGTCTTTCTCCCACATGATCCCATAAAACCAGAGGCTTTATTCAACACAGAATTTGATCCGTTTGTCCTGAGGTTTAGCACCAAAAAAACCCACAGAACAATTTTAAGGAGAAAGTCACTGAGGTCATGTTGGTCCCTCATGGCACCATGTGGGGATGTGTAGGGAGCTCATCGCATCTTCATTCACTACCTAACTTGGTTCCCAGGTTGGGACAAGGTTGCTCCCCCACTTCAGAGCAAACAGAGCAGAATCAGGACTAAATCGAGTCACAACCCCATGAGACGAGCACTCGTCCACCCCACCTGCTTCTCAGGGGACAGTGGCCTGAGCCTTGTGTGAACTCTTCTGTTGCAGAGATACCCTCAGCCCCGGGGGCAGAAGAAGAAGAAAGTGGTGAAGTACGGCATGGGAGGCATGATCATCGTTCTGCTCATCTGTATTGTCTGGTTTCCTCTTCTCTTCATGTCTTTGATCAAATCTGTCGCCGGGGTGATCAACCAGCCCCTGGATGTCTCGGTCACAATTACCCTGGGAGGTTACCAGGTAATGGCTATGCACTTCCTCCAGGTCTCACTCACCTGCAAATAGTGTACCTCACACAGCACTCTTTCCTGATAACCCCCTACAGGACGTGTAGTTAGAGTTTGCCAATCCACATTTCCTATCTAAATTTTGACTTCTCAGAAAATATGTGATGTTTGAAATAAGGGGCAGAAGGCTGTGAAAGGAGAGGTCTGTTCTGGTTTTGGGTGCAGGAATAATCACTTCAGAAAGAGCTCTCTGAGGCGAGTTGTCCCTGGGTGCTCAGAGGGTGACATCCTCCGCAAAGCTTTTCTTTTTGACCCGGGATGCAGAGAAGAGCTTCAGAATGTTCACAGCACTGTGTCTCTTGTTTTCCAGCCTATTTTCACAATGAGTGCCCAGCAAAGCCAGCTGAAAGTTATGGACAATACCAAGTTTAAAGCCTTTATAAAAGCTTTCTCTAGTGACACTGTAAGTAAATGTGTATAATAGATTTCTATGAAGAGCTTTCATCTTGGTGAGCTGAGGGGTTGTCATATTATTCACTATTTTGCCATGGCCTGGGAGGGGGGGATTTTCAGAGATTATCAGTTGTACACAACAGATTCCTAGCCACTGGCCACTTTGATAATCAAAGACATCAATTCTATATTATTGGATGCAAGTGTTAATAATCATAATTTTATTTCAGAATATTTCAATGTAAGCTCAACAGGGGTTGATCCTTTTAAAATATTTTAATTTTTTAAGTTTTGAAAGATATTTATTCTTTTGACTGGTTGGTTCAGGGGTCCTCAAACTTTTTAAACAGGGGGCCAGTTCACTGTCCCTCAGACCATTGGAGGGCCGGACTATAGTTTAAAAAAAAATATGAACAAATTCCTATGCACACTGCACATATCTTATTTTGAAGTAAAAAAACAAAATGGGAACAAATACAATATTTGTTTTTGCATGTGGCCCGCGGGCCGTAGTTTGAGGACCCCTGGGTTGGTCTATTCTGAGAATCTACCCTAAAGAAGTAATTAAAAATATGGGAAAAGCACTATGTTGGTACCTACTTTTGACAACATTCCCTGTATTAGTAAAAACTGGAAGCAGCTTGAGGATTCAACAAGTAGGGACTGGTTGAAGAAGTCATGGCATGTGTATGTAGTGAATTTGATTAGTTCTGACTACCCTAGGGTGGTCGTAGTAGAAGAAGGGGGCTTTATATTTGCTTTACATACTTTGTATTTTCTTTACATACAATATTGTCTGAATATTTTCCAAGCCACTTCTGTAATTAAAAAAATAATCATTACCTTTTACAATTAAAATTTTCTTTACAAATAGTATTTTATAGAGTTTTAAAAATATGTCTTTTTTTATTTTAGAGAGAAGAAGGAAGAGGAAGAGAGAGATAAAAACATCGATTAGAGAGAAACATCAATCGGTTGCCTCCACTTGCCCCCTACTGGGGATCCTGCAACCCAGGCTTGTGTCCTGACCATACAAAACCAGTGACCTCTTGCTTCATGAGTTGATGCTCAACTACTGAGCAACAGCAGCCTGGCTACAAATAATATTTATTATTTAATTTTTAAAAAGTGATTAGGCAGTCCTGGCTGGTGTAGCTTAGTAATTAGAGCATTGGCCTGTACATCAGAGGGTCTTGGGTTCAATTCCTCGCCAAGGGCCATTACCTGGGTTGCAGGTTCCATCCCCATTCCTGGTTGGGGTACCTGTGGGAGGCAGCCAATCAATGTATCTCTCTCATATCAATGCTTCTCTCTCTCCCCCCCCTGCCCCCTCCCTTCACCTCTCTCTGAAAAAAAATCAATGGACAAAATATCCTCACTCCTCAAGTGTGGATTTTTTTTTAAGTGATTAGGTAAGCAGAGGCTTTTCTCTTCTGTAAAATTATTGGTGTAATGCACTCTGTCAAAACCAATCTTGAGGGATGAACATCTGTGAGGACAGAGCCAGGATTCCTGGGTCGATGAAATTTGACTATCTCACGAGAGAGACATTTCCCAATAGTTGATAAATTTTCTTCTTAGTGGGAAGGAAGAAAGACACTAAGTCACCTGGTTTACCTTTACTGTTTAACTTGAGTGATTCCATAGCTGTATTGGTTCGGCAGCATCGCCACTGGGCTTTGATGATGTCACTGAGAGGGGAATAGAGCCAGTGCAATGGGACACCAAGATAATCTGTATAGAAATTTTCCTTTCAAGGAAGAAATGATGTCTATACAGTCAGTGAAGAGGAAGAGTAATAACTTTCTTTATGCATCACTGTGTGTGTGATCTATTTATGCGTGTGTATTTGTGTGCATACAGGGTGCTATGCAATTTCTGGAAAATTATGAAAAAGAAGACATAACAGTAGCAGAACTGGAAGGAAACTCAAATTCTTTATGGACCATCAGCCCTCCCAGTAAGCAGAAAATGATACACGAACTCCTGGACCCCAATAGTAGCTTCTCTGTTGTTTTTTCATGGAGTATTCAGAGGTAGTTACTGTATTTCCATGCATAATTTCCCCTTTTCCCCAATCTAAACTCGGGGTGGGGTGGGGAGCATAAAAAGATAGAAAAAATATATTAATGTGGATCTTAGTTCACATTACATCTTGGGAACATTCATTCAATGCTACAGCTAACATTTTTGTTTATTGAATAATGGTTTGCCTGGGAATCATTGACAAAAATACTTATTACATTTCTTTTTTTCTACTAAGTTTCTTTTTTTTCCTTCTAATTATCACCTGTGGAAATTTTTTAATTGATTTTTAGAAAGAGAGAGGAAAGGGAGGGAGAGAGAGAAAGAGAAAAAAAGAAAGAGAGAGAGAGAGATGAGAGAGAAACATCAATCAGTTGCCTCCCATACATGCCCCAACAAGGGACCGAACCCACAACCTAAGCATGTCACCCAGACTGGAAATCGAATCTACAACCTTTTGGTGTACAGGACAATGCTCCAACCAACTAGGCCACTGGGCCAGGGCTAAGTTCCATTTCAAAGAGAGGCTGGCAATGAGTTCTGTGAGCAAGAGAGAAAGGTAGAGAGAAAAGAGGGTGATGACTTATAAAATGAAACAGAACCTGGATGTATTGTAAGATTTCCCTAAAAGGTTGAAGTTTGGTCTTTTTTATGATTTTTTTCTTTTCTTTTTTTGTTTTACTGAATTTATTCATAAAACCATACAGGTTTCAAGTGTACAACTCAATCAAACATCACCTGCACACTGCATCATGCGACCATTGCCCCAAGCAAAGTATCTTTCAGTCCCTATTCCCTACCCCACCCCTCTTTGCCCACCTCCACCAACCTCCCACTCCCCTTTCCTTCTGGCTATCACCACACTGTTGTCTGTGTCTTTGTGTTATATACATGTTTTTGGCTTAATTTCTTTACTTTCTGCCTTTGAAAATTCGGTCTTAATAATAAAGAATATGCAGCCTTTGGACCCCGGCTTCTCACTTGCATCTCTCCAACACCCAGGGAGCCCTAGCAGATCTTTCCTCCAAGTGTGAGATGTGAGAGCAGCGTGGCAGACCCAGGAGAGGAGAGCTGAGGGAAATTGCTCTTCACCTATCCTGCGCCAATGGCCAGCATGTGGCCGCTACTTCACCTGTTTAGACAGAGCATGTCTTAGGAAAAGTTCTGGCATCCCCAAGCCAGACGTGCTAGAGAAGCAGTTCAGGGGCCTCAACACAATATACCAACTGATTAGTTTCTTACACCACAGCTGTGACTGAGGACTCTATACAAGTTTATTTGTCCATCAAGCTTTAGGTTCATGTAGGTCCACAATTCTAGCTTCTTCGATGGAATTAAGAAGAATTATGATAGGTAGAGAAGAAAGCCTTCTAGAATGTAAAGTGAATTCACAAGGAAAGAGTAAAGAAGTATTCCAAAGAGTAAAGAAATATTCCAAAGTTCATAATTTAAAAGAATTTCTTTAATTTTCTTTTCTCCTTTAAATGTCCCAAATTCCTCACATGGAATTCTGTACTGCCAAAAAATTTACTTCTTAGCCTTTCTTTGAAGACCTACCAAAAAAATAACAACATGAAACATCAACTTCTGATTGAAAATTCTTTTTAAAATGTGGATTCCATTAGTCACCATGAACACCAGCTTCATTGGATTGACATAAAGAGAGTTCTGGAAATGCTTATCAGAGCAGCAGGACGCTTTCTCTTTTGCTCAGTAGACTGTGCCTCCTCATCTGCCATTTGTGTTAAAAGTGTGTGTGGTTTCCCTGGGATTTACTAACTTGGTTGTCTAAAAAACTGAACTTAAAGCTGAGGTGGACAGAAAGGGCTGGGGTTGACAATCGTGGACCCAATAAAACCTTGGTGAGATTAATAACATTAAGAGTCAAGTGAGTTTATAATTTCTCTTCCAGACTTCTGAATAATCGTTGACATTGACGTTTTGTGCCTTTTTCTTCACAGAAACATGAGTCTGGGTGCAAAAGCAGAAGTAGCAACAGATAAGCTTACTTTTCCTCTTAAAAATATTACTCGAGAGAATATAGCTAAAATGATAGCTGGCAACGACACACAAAGTTCAACAACACCAGTGTAAGTTGATTGTTCCTGTTACTATAGCTTGAATAGGTGTATGTACCTGGTAAAGAATCTCTACCTATGAATTCATCATGTGCAAGAAATGCAATCATCATTCTTGGATAACTCAAGTGAATTTCTGTTTGGGGGCCTCATTGTGCTAGATTAAAGCAACTCTATCGTCTTCCCTCTCACTCTCTGTCCCCTAGCCAGGGAGTATTGCTCTCACCCCTGAGCAGCAAGCCGTGCTGTTGTATTCTGTAATCACCAAAAGCCAGGGGAAGACTCTGCAAGACCCCTTTCCTGTTGTTCCTGCTGCAGGGTCGCTGAATGCCAGGGGGGGGGGGGGGGTAGACAAAAGGTAAACAGAAATTTGAGGAGGAAATTATAACAACATATTATCATGCCCTATAAGTGCTCCATTTCAAACACATCCAAGCTGTGATGTTTAGATTCTAATATAAGAACTAGTAGGAGAAAAAAAATGCTATTGGTCTAAAACTGCTAAATGATGTCCACTAGCCATTTCCCAGTTCTGTGGCCAGTCTGCCCTGGCCCCATTTTTATGCTTTGAATATGAGAACCACCATGACGCAACCCTCAGACAGATTCCTGACTAAAACATTCTTTGTTAATCAATGAAGTTGGAGGTCCCTTGAAGATTGTCAGGTCCTCCTCCATCACTTCCCAGATGCAAAAACAGGTCTAGAACGATGGAATAGCCTTCTCAGGTGACCCAGCTCATCCCTGCAGAGGTAGAATAAGGTTCAGGTCACCAGTTCTCTCCTCACACCTCACTCGTATCACTAGATCAAATGCAGTCCACTTGATTATTGATATTTTTGAAATCCTAAAAATTAAAAGAGCGCTCAATGTTATTAATACAAATGATAGGCTCTTAGCAAGAAAGACAGCCCTTTGCTTCAGAAACAGTAACAGATATGGGAACATCTCTGCATCAGTTTTAAGGCATTAATTAGCTTGTGTATGGTATTTAGATGAATGAGTATTTGGATAGAATCTGATGAATATTTTTGGATTCACAAAGGAAAGAGTAAAGAAATATTCCAAAGGGGATAGTTCATAATTTAAAAGAATTTCTTTAATCTTATTTTCTCCTTTAAATGTCAAAGAATTCTGATTATAACGAATACCCATAAATGATGGTGACTACACAGTGTATAGACATATAAAGACTCTTGCCATTATTTGTTTGGTATAAGGTCAAAATAGCAATAAAAAATCAATTTTACATGGTTAAACAACTAAAACTCAATTACCTCTTTTTTTTTTCTTTATGCACAGGACTATCGAAAGGATCTACCCATATTATGTGAAAGCACCTAGTGATTCTAACTCCAAACCTATAAAGCAACTTTTATCTGGTAAGAATGAGAGGGAATCACTCAATCATTCTGTTTAATCTTTCTTTTATTCAACACCTAGGGTTTGCATTTTTCAGCCTCTATCAAACTTCTTTCCAGTTTTCTTTCCCTTGCGAGAAGCATAAGGCTCCTGGCTGTGCTCACCAGCCAGAGGAGTCATTCGCTCAGCTGGGATCCATGTTCTTCGTTTTCTTTTTCTGTTTATTGATATAAAACCTGGTTGACTCAAATTCATATTTAATGACTTATGTTACTGCTTAGTCAGTCTGTTTACTTGTTTCTATTAGCAACCATATCTGTGGCAGAAAACTGCCTCTTACAGTGTTAAATATGAAGACCCCACAATAAGAGCAATGAAAAGATAGTAGGAAATGTACTTGATTCAGCCCACGGGTGATTAAATATCAATAGAAGTGCTCCGGGGACTGTGTTTCCCCCATACAACCGTGATGGGAATGAATTGATGTCTAACTAGTTGTTGGGAATTATCAGCAAAGATGCCCACGTGATGGGTCTTTCCCTCTCTGGCTGTTATTCTGCTGCCCTGCACATGTGGCCACAGTGACTGACCTTTTTAGTAAAAAAGAGAAACCCCATACACACCTAGGCCCACTCTTCCTTTTCACTTGCGTTGTTAACATGGCCATGTGGACATCCTGGAATCATATGCTGTGGACGGGAACCAGGTTTTGCCATTTTAAGACTGTTGTTGATGTGCATTAAATCCCAAAATGCTCATGCTAACTTGATTTTATATTTTTTCTCTTCCAGAAAATAATTTCATGAATATCACCATCATTTTGTCCAGAGATAATACAGTTAAATCTAATAGTGAGTGGTGGGTTCTCAATCTGACTGGAACTAGACTCTACAATCAGCATGCCCAGGCCTTAGAGCTGGTGGTCTTCAATGACAAAGTCAGTCCCCCCAGTCTGGGCTTCCTGGCTGGCTATGGGTAAGGACCCATTTAACAATTAACAGTTACAAGAGTCTATGTCTGCTAACCACTATGCTGAACTCATAAACTAATACAAAATGATATTAGATGTAAACTGTAATTGAAAAATATGCCCCCCCAAAAAGAAAACATTTCTGTTCCTAAAAAAGGAGTCTACTTCTGTATCATATCAAGTTGAAGATAGGAAGCCATTTATCTTCTTAAAATTTTCCAATTTTGTAGCTGAAATATTAAATTCACAGATCCTTGACCCTTCGTCTTAAAAAATAAGGAACCAGAGTCCCAAAGACGTCCCAAGCCTTGTGTGGCTCACACTGCTAATGATGGGACTAGAAGCTGTATTTCCGGCTTGTTAACTATATCTTCCTGTTAAGCACAGTTTGATTGATGCGATTCCGTGTTTAAACTTAGAAATTAGCATAAATTTATCTTTCTTTGCTTAGATTTCCTTATGCCCTTAGAAGATATAGGATCAATTAGAAACCATAGTTTTGGACAAGTCCAATGTTACCCTTTAATCACATTCTGATGCTTAAAATCCTAGGACACTGTCAAACATCCCCTACAAGTAGAAGTAGAAACTTTTCCATTTTCCAGGATAAACCTCTTAAGAAATCACTGTCTAACCAAAGTTTTATTATAAAAATGAATCTCTAACAAATGCAGTATTATTAAAGAGAAAAGTGTTAGGGACAAAAAAGTATACAGAGTATAATTGGATTTCTACCAAATATATGATATGGTTGATGCATGTATTATATGCGGTAAAGTCACCTGAAATTCATACATGAAACTGTTCAAATTAGTAAATTCCAAAATGTGAGATTTCATAGGACTTTTCTTTTTCAAATCTTACGGTTCTGTAATGTGTAATTTTTTTTAGAAAGAACATGAATTGCCTTTTTTATCATCAAAAAGTAAATGTTTTCACCAGATAAAAACTGTAAGCTTTGCTAAGTTTATCACATCCTCTATGGATTTTGAAAGAAAATGTTATGCTTTTCTTTTAGATGCGTTCTATTTACCATATTTAACTAATTTCTGCTTAATTTTTTTTTTTCAGTATCATGGGACTGTATGCTTCCGTTGTTCTTGTGATTGGGAAGTTTGTTCGCGAGTTCTTCAGTGGGATTTCTCACTCCATCATGTTTGAAGAGCTTCCCAACGTGGACCGAATTTTGAAGTTGTGCACAGACATTTTTTTAGTTCGAGAGACAGGGGAACTGGAACTAGAGGAGGATCTCTATGCCAAATTAATATTCCTCTACCGCTCACCAGAAACCATGATCAAATGGACTAGAGAAAAGACAAATTGATACCTTAGGACACAGACTGCAAATCAAGATACCATTTGAATTTTCAAAAACAAAAAAAAGCACAATATTCTCATAAGAGCTATGCATTTCTCATTCGATGGGAATGGATTCTCTTCTGACAGGCGGCCAAAGGGAGTTGGCTTCCTTTTGTCGTCAAAGCTACCTTGCAGGTTCAGGCGCTGTTGAAAAAGTTATTTGTAATTCCATTTCTCTGAATCAGGGCTACTTGGTTTATGTTTTAATCAACAGTGTCTTGCATTCTGATAGACTATGTGAAGGAATCATTGATGGATCTCCTCCCTCAGAGAAACAGAAGAGAAGAAGGAAGAAGGAAGGAGGCCATGTTTTCCTGTGCGGGGGACCTTGCCCTTCCTGAAGAGATGCTACAATACAGGCCACAGCGCTCTGTCGCCAATGGGGAAGCTGCTATGGGAAGAATAGATGGACCTCAGCACAACCCGGATATGCAACAGCAATAGGAGGCTGAAAACTCCTAAACATTTCTAGGAGGAAAAGAGAGAGGGAGCTGATGAGCCTTGAAGATGCCAGTGGATGGATAAGCCTCATTCTAAGCAAAAAGATAACTTAGTGACACTCTTACTGCCTTATCTTAACTGAAGATTAATAAATTTTTTTCCCATTAAACACCAGTGACTTCTCAGGAAAAAAAAAAAAGCAGCAAAACAAATATGTGGACACTGGCTTTGTTGAGACCCAGCTAGTGATTCACGTCAATGGTGGTGGCTGTTCTACTTCAGAGAGCTCATTACTGCTCCTGGTGAAACACAGACAAGAAGTAGAAAGATGGAAAATGCCGCCCAGCAGAGGTGGAGTACCTTGACTTTGTAACTCTTTATTAACTGAGGTCATGAGCACTCTTCTACCTTCTCCATCCCCCAACATGCTTTTTCCCATTTCGATGATTTAAAGCAATGGTTTTCCAGTATGTGACATTTTCCTTCCTGTTTTTCAGGTATATCAAAGAGTTTACATATTCCAATTCACATTTTTACATCTGAGACGGGTTTTTTAAGTTCATAATTATGAAAGAAATATGTATATTGAGCTTGGGGAAATAAACAATGGCCTTTTCTTAAATTATTGTTATTGGTAATACAACCTCTTCATTAAATAACATTGTAGCATGGAAATTTATGACTGAAATGTAGTTTTCATTCCATATTAAAATACAGTTTCTGAGAAGAATCACTGAATGGACTAGAATATGACAAGAAAAATGATCCTATGTAGTTTGGGTTCAGGACTGACTCAAAATAAAGCACATCTTGCAAAGTCATTTTAGGAATATTCTTCATTCTGTCTTTTTGCATTATTTGTTTTAAGTGTTGTGTACAAGGCGTTTTTTAAAATCAACTGAGATAAGAATTCACTTATTGTTAGTTTGATTGGGGTTTTTTTCTCTCATGTAGGTGCTCTATGTGAATAACACAAGCAGGAAATAACTATAGCAAATTAATTTCCAGAGGAAAGTATTACAGTGAATATGGAGCTTTAAAAAAATAGCAGAGTTCAAATGATGTTCAGTGTATTCTAGAGAATTAGTGAATATTTGTTCAACTATGAAAGCTAGCGTACTTCCAGCCTGCCGAAATAAACGAGTCCAATCATTGAAACAATAAACTCAAACCACTCAGGGAACTGTGGCCCATGTTCTGATTTCCCAACAACAGGAAGAATCATTGTGCATATTTCTGAATCTGAATTCTTTCTTTTTAAAATGTCAACAGGGAATTTCCAGAGAGCACATTATAACACATTTAGGAAAGAGGAAAGTTGCAAAATGCTCCTGAAAAAAAGTGTAAGGTCAAAGTATATCAGTAATATTCCTCAAGAAAACAATTCCCAGGTTTCAAGAAAAAAAGCCTCCCTGTGTGTAAGGGGGAAAATATCAAAGGTGTTGACATAAGAAGTGTCCAAACTTGTAGAGAATTTTTGGAAGAGTTTATTTGAGACAAACATATGCCAGGAGCAAGATCTCAAATGCTCAGGAGAATGACAGTTTTGTAGTTTCTTTTACGCCTTAAAAATTAAGGAGGGGATATAAGGAAGATTACATGGAGGTGGGAGAAAGCAAGGTACAGATTGGATTACAAAAGAGTTAAGATTATTTCCTTTAAGGTTGTTATTTCAAAGGTCTGTTAACTTAGATGCACGGAGTGGGCAGGGCTTGCTGAAGGCAAAGATAAGCCTTTTAGTAAAGAAGGTATACGCCTGGGGCATGACTACCCACCAAGACCTGCCCAGGTAGGAATTTATGATCCGATCACCCTGTGAGGTTACTTTCCATAGAACCCCTTTTGTTCACAAAGGACATATGGAAGGTTAACTTACAGAAACGGTAGGAGAGCACACCTCCCAGGGAGGCATGTGCTGGATGGAGTGGAGCTGGAACAGAGCCTGAGGTGGCCTGGCTTCTAGTCCTGGCCTGGCCACCATCAGGCTGGAACCCAGACCCCTCTCCAAACTTCTATGTGACGATATGAAATGATCGTGAGGCCGTCACCAGCCACACTCTAAGCCCCAAAGGAGCGCCTGCCCTGGCCCAGTAGATGCCGCTTACAAACTCAGATCGCCCCCTTTGGCTGGGTCCTCTGCAGATGCCTCTGAGATGGACTGGCACCTGACAACATTTGGAAGAGTGGCCCCCCTGGGAGTGACGCTGGTCAGCAAGGAGGGCAGGTCTAGGCAGAGGGACAAGATTACCAGCCCTGCAGCTGCAATTGAGGTTCGCCCACCCCTGCGGGCACTCAGGAGCTGGCACAGCCCTTCCTTGTCCCCAGCAAAGGCATCAGCAAGGCATCGCCACAGCCACCCCTGAGCGCGGCTTCTCCATGGAGGAGGCGTTCCCTGTGGCTGGAGCTTACTGCCTCTGAGGGCACAATCAGTGCCCACGAACAATTGCTTCTCAGGGACCGCATTGTTTGGAGTAAGAGCTACTTTTTTAAATAAAATGTTTTTAATTAAAGCTGTAGAAATCTGGTTCTGTTCCCACATGTTTTATTGATCATATTTAATTATTATTTTTCTATCTTCCTTGTATTTTCAAGAAGTGGCTGGTAACTTTCCCTAATGTTTATTCACCTTGTAGTTTATAAATTTCTGCTCCTGCCTTTCTTATTTCTTCTGTTACTTCTTTGTGTTATTCTGGCTTCCTAGGTTGGGTACAGAGCTCATTATTTCTAAGGTGAACATTTGAGGCCATATACAGGGCATCCCAAATCAGAAGTATAAATGCTCTAACCTTACAGAAATCAGCATGTGAAAGTGTAAGCTATTAAGGATTGTACATTCTCAGCTTTGAGAATGTTGCATAACACATGTTAGTTTTTAATTCTGCCGTGGGTGACAGTGTCGGGATGGCCGCTGTCAGACTGGTGGCTCAATGGAGGACGCCTCCGGCTCACTCCCTGCTCCTTCAGACCTGTGGCCGCGGGTCAGGGAGAGGACCCGTGGGTTCTTGTTCTCTGAATGGTCTCCAAATGCAGTTCTTTCAGTTGCTGCTGCTCAGTTTTTGCATTTTGAGAATTGACTGCAACCACTAGCACCAGAGAGTGGTGATTTTGAATGCAATTGAAAGATATTCGTTTGTTAAATTAGTAGCCTTTACAGTGCTGGCTTGTCTAAGTTTGTAGTATTCACACTTCTAAAACCATTCAAGTTTAGATCCGCAGTAAGACTTTTGGACCCTCTAAGTGGCGAGCCGGCATGGCCATGGCATCCTCAGCCCCAAGGCACCTTATGTGCCGCGCCAGCTCAGCCTGTTTCAGTGACCCTGAGAGGGGGCAGTGAAGGATTGAGGAAAGACAGACAAGAGAAGAAAGCTGGGTCTGGGTGGGATGCTGTCCTCTCTGATGGAGAGACAGCATCACGGCCTACAAACCGTGTCTTTATTTTATAGCCAGATTCCACGAGGCAAAAGGTCAGCCCCAAGGCACCTTATGTGCCGCGCCAGCTCAGCCTGTTTCAGTGACCCTGAGAGGGGGCAGTGAAGGATTGAGGAAAGACAGACAAGAGAAGAAAGCTGGGTCTGGGTGGGATGCTGTCCTCTCTGATGGAGAGACAGCATCACGGCCTACAAACCGTATCTTTATTTTATAGCCAGATTCCACGAGGCAAAAGTAAGGGCATGGTCAGGATGTTTACAACATTCTCATGGGTTTTGATGCTGCTCAATTACATGCATCTGACCTCTATCGAGCCCACATCACTCAGGCACGTGGGGCCACGTGTTCGGACCATAGGTTCAAGCTTACAGCTACAGCTGTTGGCTATAATTGTGCTGGGAGGGCCCTGCCCTCCAAGCTGGGACTTGCACGTGGCCATGAGAGGACTGTGCTCTCTCATTAGTCTGAGGCTTGAACCTGTCCAAACACTGTAGCCGCTCTCCACACCTCTTTACTATCTTCTATAGATGACTAAGCTCCGCACTAGAAACTGTCACAGGTAGGGCTTCACAGAGTTCCAGGAGAAAGGCACATAAAATAGCAGAAGTGGGAGCAGAGGCCGTGAGGGAAGGGGAGGAGGGTCCTCACGGGAAGTTGTGGAAAGAGATAGAGGAACTTCTGAAATCGTCCCAGGAATCTGGAACCAGCCACTGACTTAGTTTGTTTAAAGTGTTTAGGGAAAGCCAGATAAATAGTTCCCGACCTCTTTCACCCAGACCCTCACTCCATCCAAAGAGCCTGAAAAAGATCGCTGGAGACACGTGTAGGAGCTGCTAGAACAATAAATAGGAGAAGAAGAAATACTCCGTTACCGTTGGCTCTTATTAGTATACGCCGAACCCTGTGCGGAAGCATAGAGACATAAAGAAACTCAGATCCCTGCATGGCGCAGGTGGAGCCAGGGCTCGATTCATTTCCCCCGGGAACCCCGCCGAGCCTGCTGGACCTCAGCCTCCTGTTGGAACCCCAACCTTCCTGCTGGAACCCAGCCTCCTGCTGGCACAGCCTCTCCACTGAAAGACCCTGCCTTAAGCCTCTGTCCTACCCGACCAAGCCCTGCTCGGTCAGCCCTCTGCTAGGCTGCTGATGTGAGCACTCCCACATGTCAGATCTGCTGGGGCCCTAAATTACCAAATACTTTTTGTTATTTTTGGTGTCAGGTTAGATAAACAGCAATTTTTCATCAGTCTTGTCTCAGCGCCTCCCACAATATTTCTTTCCCAGGTTACTAAGTTTCTGGCAGGAAGATGTCGCTGAGGCGCACCCTCTTCCGCAGGAGGATCACTGAATGTCTCCAGGAATGGGAGCAGGTGGGCGAGGGAGGCGGCTCTCCCTTTCTCTCAAGCCACTCGGCTCTCAGGTCAGAGGGCCAGGCAGCTAGGAAACTCGGAGTATTCTAATAAACATAGAGCGTGAGACAACATCCCGGGTGTAAAGTGCCACCCAGATCAAACGTGGGTAATTGGACAACCCTCCAAGGAGTTTTAGCATCTCTCATGTTTCTTTTTTACCCTGAGAATCTGATTCTTGTGTCTGACGGCCTGGTCTTCCCACATTCCTTGGTCATCTTGTAAGTTAGCTCAGGTGAATAGTATTAATGCTACAGATATTGGAAGTATATCAACATATTACTGTTAGGCCCAATGATTTAATAAACGACATTTTCATGTTATGACTTTTCTATCATAATGAAAATGCGTCTGGAGGAGCAGTTGGATGCTGGCAATTGGTTAAATCTTGCATTGCCCTTCACCAATGACCCTGTTTCATTGTCAGTAGGTACATGTTTCAAAGCTAGACCTGTCAAAGGGGAGAAAACCTCCTAACCCAGGGGAAGGGTGCGTCTTGCCTTCACCTGAATAAGCCAAGCCCAGGGTCCCTCCTGGTTGGGTCGCTGGCTCTCTAACACATGTTGGAGAATGTGGAGTGCGATAGTTGGCCACGCCTTGGAAAATCTCCTTGGATCAGCCAAAAGGCAGGAAGCAAAGGGATCAACTCCTTTCCAGAAGAGAAGTTGTCACCGTGCCTGGAGTGGACTTTCCAGAGCATTTTCATTTGGGAGTGAGGGCTGAAGTGCTCCTTGATTGTGTCTCCTACAGGAACAACCACCACGTGCTGACGTTTTAGTGTAGTGGTTCTCAACCTTGGCTGCACATTAGAATCACCTGGGAATCTTTTTAAAATCCTGATTTCTGGGCCTCATCCTCCGAGGCCCGGCTACCCTCATCTGAGGATGAGGCCCAGAAATCAGGATTTTAAAGAGATTCCCAGGTGATTCTAATGTGCAGCCAAGGTTGAGAACCACTGTTT